TTTTCCTGAATTAGAGCAAGAACCAATGATAGAGCCCCAACACCCTATCAATTTTGCTTCTGATTTGAAAAATTAATTCAACAATCATTAAGAATGAATGATGCCCCAGAGAGAATGAATGACTTCATATTCCTAAGATTGTCCCTTCCCAAGCTTTATTATTGATCAATGAAGCTGTCTAAAGTATAGATTAGGATGAGAAAAGGGGCAGGGCCAGACATGACTTCAAGGAAGGTAGAGTAGAGCTCCCAAGGGTACCAGGAGCTCACCGAGATATGAAACTACACATGTGGGCAGGTGCCAAGCTTTGGCCAGACATGACTTCAAGGAAGGTATAGTAGAGCTCCTTAGGCTACAAGAAGCTCCTCAAGGTATGCAACTACACATGTAGGCAGGTGTCAAGCTTTGGCCAGACATGACTTCAAGGAAGGTATAGTAGAGCTCCTTCGACTTCCTGGAGCTCCCCAAGGTATGCAACTACACATGTGGGCAGGTGTCAAGCTTTGGCCAGACATGACTTCAAGAAAGGTATAGTAGAGTTCCTTAGGCTACAAGGAGCTCCTCAAGGTATGCAAGCACACATGTAGGCAGGTGCCAAACTTTGGCCAGACACGACTTAAAATAAGGTGGAGTAGAGCCCCCAAGACTACCAGGAGCTCTCCAAGGTATGCAAGCACACATGTAGGCAGGTGCCAAGCTTTGGCCAGACATGACTACAAGAAATGTATCATAGAGCTCTTTAGGCTACAAGGAGCTCCCCAAGGTATGCACGCACACATGTAGGCAGGTGCCAAGCTTTGGCTAGACATGACTCCAATAAAGATAAAGTAGAGCATCTTAGGCTACCAGAAGCTCTCCAAGATATGCAACCACATATGCAGGCAGGTGCTTTGGATATTTACAGATTCACTTTTAGACTTCACTTTTAGACCTCATGCACACTGGGAATTCAGTTCTGATATATGCAGAAGGCACAGGTGCAAGTCAAGCAGCCTGTTTTTTGGGAACATTAGTACCACTCAGTTCGCCACCCAGCCACATCCAGCTGCAATAGCTTTCAGCCTCTCATAGAATTCTATGAGTTGCCAGTGGTGGGGCTGGACAATGCACCTGTGCCTCCTCCCTGCACCAAAATGCTGGGATCTCATGCACGCTAGCATGAGGCCAAAGAGGTTTCTACTTTCACTGAGCAAGCAGAAAAACTCTTATACCTGCCTCCCATTCTGACGATGATTGGCAAGGGTGTCCTTCTCCGAACCTGCACTGGCCAGAGGTGGTTCTTCAGTAGCAGTTGACTTCCCTTGGCCACCCTTCAAAACACAATACTGTTCTTTGAGTTTCCACCATGTACGTGTTTGTGGAACAAATTGGAAAGCTATAGTCAGGTCTAAGGCAGTAGACAGAGGTGTCTACGCAAGGCCTCCATGACTAGGTCTGGAGAGGGAAGAGGTAGCAAAATGTATATATCTAAGGAAGGAATATCTACTGTAGTTATAAATCCACCTGGTCAATTTGGGGGGGGGGGGGGTGAGAAGTTCTAGGGAGGTCGGCGCAAGAGAGAAAGTTCCAGGATCAGATGAAGTTAGCAGAATTGGAGCAGTGTTCCCACCCTCTTGCCCAGTTATTTTCAGGAAACTACCTGTTGCCCAGCTGAGCAGGGTATTAGGGTCTTTGAAGGTCAATAGTCACAGTTAATGTCCAATTTGGGGAGCTGTTTCAGGTATGGCATCCCTGTGGTAGCAGGTCAAGTTATGTTTTCCTTTGGTATCTGGATGTAATGTCCCCAAGGTGGTGTCATGCAACTAGGGGCCTAGTGTGCAAGACACTAGTAGATTTATTTTCAACATAAACTTTAAAAACATTGGTCCCAATCCTGGTTAATTATGGTTGAAATGTATGGTTGTCATTATGAATTAGCTCCATATTTAATAAATGGCTACAGTGGCCCCAAATCTAACCTTGGTGGCATCAATTATTTCAGAAACAGAGATGGGTGGTTTATGGTTGGCCTAGAAGACCCCATACCATATACAATACCCTTGTTAAGGTTTTTGAAGGCAGTATTTGACCCCCCAAAAAGCTTAATGACTATGACAAACATGGCGGCTTTAGATCTGCTGGTAAAGCAACTGATCAGATCATTTTCAGGAAGAAGGGGCACAGTCGTGATTTCCCGATTCCTCAAATCCAACCTTGGTGGTGTCAATTATTTCAGAAACAGAGATGGGTGGTTTACGGTTGGCCTAGGTGACCCAATACCATATCCATTACGCTTGTCAAAGTTTTTGAAGGCAGTATTCGACCCCAAAAAAAGAAAGCTTAATGACTATGGCAAACATGGCGGCTTTAGATCTGCTGGTAAAGCAACCGATCAGATCATTTCCAGGAAGAAGGGGCTCAGTCGTGATTTCCCATTTCCTCAAATCCAACCTTGGTGGTGTCAGTTATTTCAGAAACAGAGATGGGTGGTTCATGGTTGGATTAGGTGACCCCATACCATATACAATACCCTTGTTAAAGTTTTTGAAGGCAGTATTTGACCCCCCCAAAAAAAGCTTAATGACTATGACAAACATGGCGGCTTTAGATCTGCTGGTAAAGTAACTGATCAGATCATTTCCAGGAAGAAGAGGCTCAGTCGTGATTTCCCATTTCCTCAAATCCAACCTTGGTGGTGTCAGTTATTTCAGAAACAGAGATGGGTGGTTCATGGTTGGATTAGGTGACCCCATACCATATCCATTACCCTTGTCAAGGTTTTTGAAGGCAGTATTCGACCCCAAAAAAGAAAGCTTAATGACTATGGCAAACATGGCGGCTTTAGATCTGCTGGTAAAGCAACCAATCAGATCATTTTCAGGACGAAGGGGGCACAGTCGTGATTTCCCATTTCCTCATTGCAAAAAGAAAAACATTAAACAACAACAAGTTCTGAGCTGTACCTTTCTCACAGTGGGCTCCGGTGAATCCAGGAGGACAGGCACACTTGTTAGGGGCCACACAGGTTCCACCATATCGGCATCCTTCCTCGCAGAAAGCTGGAAAAACAAATTCTCAGTTTAACATCCCACATCCTTCATCCTATGTGACGTATAAAGGATCATATTTAATTTTTTTAGATTTCAAAAGAGTTTTAATGTGACGTCAAGTATCCAATGACTGCCAGTGAAATTTCTTGTACCACAGCCATCGTGAGTTCCCTCAGGACTACATTTTTTTTTAAGTCTTGGAAAGGACGTAAAACTCCATTAAGGGTTTTTTTTTTTTTTTGCTAACTATGTTCCAACAAGGAGACTTTCCTCACTTCTTCTTCTGGAAACACAACAGGAAGTGAGAGGAAATCCCCTCTGTTACCAGAACTTACAGTTCCAGTTCTCCTCCCATCCTGGTGATCACTGGAAAATGTTGTATTTCCCATTACTTTGGCCTTATTCACATGGGTGGCTAGGGGGGCTGTAAAAAAAACAAAGTAACCACCAATATTCCCCAAAACCCTCTTAAAATTCAGCTTTATAGCCTAAGTTCTTTGTAGCTCTCACTGCTCTCTCTCCTTTATTCCTCTCTGCAAAACGTATCAAGCTTTCTAGTAGTCATCACAACACCCTGTAATCACTTATAGTGCTGCTCGAGGGGGAGGGGTTGTGCTTTGCCTTCCATTACACTTTTTATTTTCTTAAATTTAACTTCAGTGCTATCATTTTCCCCGGTACAAATCATTAGTAAGACCTCATCTGGAATATGCAGTTCAGTTTTGGGCACCAATTCACAAAAAGAACATTGGGGAACTGGAGGAAGTACAGAGAAGGACAACTAAACTGATACGAGGCATGGAGGAGATCAGCTATGAGGAAAGATTAGAGGAACTGAATGTATTCTCTACTGAGAAGAGGAGATTAAGGGGGATATGATCTCCATGTATAATACATAAGGGGGGATGTGATCTCCATGTATAATACATAAGGGGGGGTATGATCACCATGTATAATACATAAGGGGGGGATATGATCACCATGTATAATACATAAGGGGGGATATGATCTCCATGTATAATACATAAGGGGGGATATGATCTCCATGTATAATACATAAGGGGGATATGATCTCCATGTATAATACATAAGGGGGGGGATATGATCTCATATATAATACATAAGGGGGGGATATGATCTCCATGTATAATACATAAGGGGGGATATGATCTCCATGTATATATACATAAGGGGGGGGGATATGATCTCCATGTATAATACATAAGGGGGGATATGATCTCCATGTATAATACATAAGGAGGGATATGATCTCCATGTATAATACATAAGGGGGGATATGATCACCATGTATAATACATAAGGGGGGATATGATCTCATATATAATACATAAGGGGGGGATATGATCTCCATGTATAATATATAAGGGGGGGATATGATCACCATGTATAATACATAAGGGGGGGATATGATCTCCATGTATAATACATAAGGGGGATATGATCTCCACATATATAATACATAAGGGGGGATATGATCTCCACGTATAATACATAAGGGGGGATATGATCTCCATGTATAATACATAAGGGGGGGATATGATCACCATGTATAATACATAAGGGGGGGATATGATCTCCATGGGGGGGATATGATCTCCATGTATAATACATAAGGGGGGGATATGATCACCATGTATAATACATAAGGGGGATATGATCTCCATGTATAATACATAAGGGGGGATATGATCTCCATGTATAATACATAAGGGGGGATATGATCTCCATGTATAATACATAAGGGGGGATATGATCTCCATGTATAATACATAAGGGGGGATATGATCTCCATGTATAATACATAAGGGGGGATATGATCTCCATATATATGTATAATACATAAAGGGGGATATGATCTCCATGTATAATACATAAGGGGGGGATATGATCTCCATGTATAATACATAAGGGGGGATATGATCACCATGTATAATACATAAGGGGGGATAT